TGTAAAATAATATAAAATAGGCATATATTTTTATTTCTTATTTATTTGATTTACCAGTTGATTCCTATTCTGTTAGGATGACATACGAGGTATTTTGGTAAGTAAGAATAATTATATGATGTGCTATTATAGATTATTTACAGTCACTATGTTCCAGTGCGCTGGATTGATGACGTCCCCGAAATGAGCTCAGAAAGGAACCTTATGTTAAACCCTGCAGGTAGACGATTGTCTGACATAATGGTTAAAGGCTGAGTGGTACTAATTTCGGAAATGAATAAGAAGTTGATTAATTACTTTGTCAGTAATTTAATTAATCAACGGACGTTATATCTTAAACATAGGGAGGTAAATCGATCAATCATATTAATATTATTTAATCATGGAGGCTCGGTTTTATTGTTAAAATAGTGGCTAAATGGAGAGAGCAATAATATTACTCTAGTAGGATGTTTTATTATTTAATTCCATTAAATAGGAATTAATTTTATTCTATATTAATTAATTAATTAGGAGAATAAAATTCCTACTAGAATCTTCTCTTGGGATTAGGAGAATTGGGAGTCTTCTAGAAGATGAAGATTAGTGGGAAATATATTTCCTACATTATATTAATTAATTGGAGTAAAATTAGGTTTCCTAAATTATGATTTAATTCTATTCCATGTTTATTAATTTAATTAGGAAAGGAAATTCCTACAAGGATCTTCTCTAGTGTTAGGAGACTTAGGAGTCTTCTAGAAGAGAAGATTAGTAGGAGATCTCCTTCCTAGATTGAGTTAGTATTGGATTGGAATTAAGAGTCCTAGGCCTAATGGAATAAGCCCATATTTAGCACCTCCTTAAGGTCTCTAATGGAGCCTATATATACACCATGTCCCATACTCTCCAACAAGCTTGAGTTGGCCAATTTTTCTCATCTACATACACGTGAGATTTGCTTCGTTCGAGAGTTTGGGAGATCCGATTAAACGCTCCACCAAGTTTAATCGGAATAGGTGTTTAGGTAATCCATTAGAAGGCCTTTTGGTACAATTGATTGAGCTTTCTAATACATATATATTCGGCCATCATCACCATCCGATCACCGCCGCTCATTGCCGCCGTGAACCACCGCCGGAGATCGTCAGTCGCCGCCGGAAGTCAGTCGAGCCCAGCCGATCGCAACCGCGAGTTGTCGCACGCCGTCGCGCATTAGCCAGGCCCGACGCCAACTCCCAACAGCATCCGCGAGCGACGCCCGTGGGGTCCCAGCCGCACCTGCTCGTCGCAGACCAGCCGCGCATCTCGCCAGTCGCCGCCTGCGCATCCCCAGCGCGCCAGTGCAACGCGCGCGACCGTCCGCGAACATCCCTGCTGTCTTGCTCCGCACGCCGCGTGTTCCCAGACGCCCAGCGCTAGTCTGCATCGGCATAGGAGAAGCGCACCGCGTGCACGCACACGCCCGAGGCTGCCAGCGTCGTCTGCGTAGCCTGCTCCTGCACGTCCGCGACACGCACCCTGCCAGCACTCGTCCGCATCACCCCAGCAGTCCGCGACCGTGCTCCCAACCTGCGTACACGCACGATCCGCGCCCGACGCGCACGAGCTGCCCGCTGCCACCCGACGACCGAGACCCGCACACCGTCCGTTCGTGATCCGTTTGACGAGTTGATTAGAATCAACTAAAGGCCAAACCTATCCGCCCATTAGGTTTTGGTGTTCAGACGAACTTCACCATCGGTACTCTACATCGTCTCAGAGTCGGCAAAAATTTTAACAGGTAAACGTCCATATCCTAACTATAGATTCCGCTGCATTAGGATTTATTTCGATAAAGTTCAATACTGTGCATGTTGTTTGACGTTCCTAACAGAACCCAACACTTTAAGCACATCCTTGTCCTCAAGGATCGAGGCTATCTCCAAACTCCTCATTTCAGCTTCTCGGCTTTTTCCCCGTGGTTCGGTTTTTAGCATGACAAGTCAGCTTCCTGAGTAGAATTCCATTATGCCTTTCTTATAATTTGTAGTAACTTCTCCAAGTCCTTCAAGACATTGAATTCCAAGAACTATCTCGGGCCCCACAATAGGTAGTGCATAGAGGTCGGCTTTGATGATCTCACCTTGCAGGTTGATGGGCACCTCTCGATAATATTCATGACATCTTAGCCGCTCTCCATTGGCAACCCTTACATCGAACGGTTCCACTTTTGTTGCCTTGAGCTTTTAAGTCTTTTGGTATTCGGTCGCAAATGAAGTTATGCGATGAGCCAGTGTCGACTAGTACCTCAATTGGCCGTTCCTTGATCTTGGCGGGCAGTCGGATTGTTCTCGGTCCCTGTAGGCCTGCCATTTCATTAACCGAGATCTCCAAATCTTTGTTCACTTGCTGCGCTGGTTGGTCCTCATAGGCCTCTTCCTCGTCCTCTTCAATGACGTCGATCAGAAAAAATTGTTTGCATTGATGGCCTAGGGTGAACCTTTCTTCGCACTTGTAGCAGAGACCCTTCTCACGTCGGCGTCTCATCTCCTCGAACGTGAGTTGTTTAACGTTCGGAGGTGGCGTTCGAAAGTTGTTCGGTGGTCTCGGGTTAGGCTGGACATTACTCACGTTCGATGGTGCGTTGTCTATGATTGTGCGCTCGTTCAAGTGTTGGTCCGTGCGCCGTTGCTCCAAGTTACGTACACTCTCTCGCCCGATCCTCCGTGTGGCCGATAAGTGTTCATCCCTCCTTCGTGCAGATTCCATGGCCTCGTGCATGGTCCGTGGTCGGTCGTGCCTTACTTCCGCGTCTAGCTCGAATTTGAGACCACCTATGAAAGTCCCGATGAGCGCAGAGATCGGCCAGTTGCGCACCCGACAGGCGAGTCGCTCGAACTCCTTCATGTAGTCCCGAAGACTCCCCGTCTGCTTGATGTGTGAGAGCGCTTCGTCATAGCTGTGATAGTCGGATGACCCAAATCGAGCAAGTAATTCACGCTCGAATTCTTCCCATCGGATGTGGAGCGGGTTGCCTTGGTAGCTGCTCACAAGCCATTGCCACCATACGTTGGCTTCCCCATCAAGATAGTAAGCAGCGTACCTTACACGGTCATTCCCATCAGTCTCATTAAGCTCGAAATATTGCACAGCTCGGTTGAGCCATGCGTCAGGTTCTGTGCCGGTGAAGGTGGACAGCGTGAGTCGTGGTTTGATGGGCTTCGGCCGGTCATAGTCGTTGGACGCCTGGGACCGCCGGTCGAAGTCATCATCCCGCTCGAAGTCCGCTTGTCGTTGATCCCGTTCCTCGCGCCGTTGATCCTCGGGCCACTCGCGGTTGGGACGCCGCTCGTGATCGTGATGCGCACGGTCTTGCTGCCGAGGGGTTTGTTGCTCCACGATGCTGCGCGCCATCTCGTCATAGCGGCGATTCATGATTTCCATCAGCTCTTGAACCGTGGCCTTGGTAGTGTTGAGCCCTTCGCTCATAGTACGGACCTGAGCAACGAGATTATCGATCTTGTCCTTCATCTCCTTGTTGGCCATGGTTTTCTTCTCTTGCTTGCGTTCTTTGCTTCGAGGACTCGTGATGGAATAGATTTTTTTTTTTTTTTTGATAGGGGGGACGAAAAAAGAAGAACAAAAAGAAAGGGAATGGGGTAGGAGAAAAACACACGATCTAACACCTCTCAATGAAAGCACCAATGATGAGGATCGTGTGTTTCGATTGCCGATAAGCCACAAACCAGTGCCTTGAATCGCCGATAGTTGCTTAGAGGTTCACAAACCGCACCCCTCTAAACGAATAAAATTACAATAGAAATCTAGAAGAAATCTAAGACAAAGTATTTGAACAAAAGTTCAGATTTTTATTGATAAATTTCATGATGAAAAATAACATGGGGAAGGGGCCTTTATATAGGCACAAAATATATCTAGTCCTAATCTACCTAGGGATTTATTAAAGCAATAAAATATTAGAAATCCTAATTAAGCTAGAAATTATAAAGCAATAAGGGAACTAAATAACTTGGCTTGCACTCCAAGTTGTGAAGAAAGATCTATGGAAAATTCAGCTCAAAAAGCCTTCTAGAAGACCCACTTTCTTGCTGGCCAAGTCTGTCCGCGCGCTGCCCCAGGCTGCTGCCCGTGCGCGCTGCTGCCTTGCGTGCGCGCGCAGGCTACTGCCCTGCTCCCGCGCGCGTTGATGACGGATCAGGTGTTGCGTTCCCTCGACTTGTCTCGATCACGGCTTCGCCACGGCCTTGCTCTCGACGATAGGTGTGATCGACTCGGTTATTAGCCTAACTCTCTCACGATACTTGAGTTCACTCGGGTATTAGCCTCGCTACACTCTCGAAATAGATCGGGTCTTAGCCTCTCTAAATCGTTGAACTGGCTTGGGTCTTAGCCTCACCAATTCGGTTGCATGATCGAACTCTCACGAATCCTAACACACGGTCTGGACAAACTTTCCTTTTCTATTTCATCAATTCTGGTCCTCTAAAAACAATGAGGGAACATCCCTATTTATAGATCCTAACTATGACTAATTCTAATCTACCTAGGAAACATATTAAAGCAATAAAATATTAAATTCCTAAACATTCTAGATACTTTTGTGCAAGAAGGAAACTAAATATACTAGAGTCCTAAATTGACTAGATCTTGATCTTGCTTGGCTTGCACTCCAAACAATTCCAAATCACACGCCCAAGTAACTTCGGCCGCCTCTTATGCACCGCCCTTCGGGGTTTCCTAATCCTCGTCGCGCGCGCGCGTCTCGTACGCGTTTTCCGCCGCCCCAGCTACTCCTTGTCGTGCGCGGAATCGCGCGCGTTTGCGCCCCACGCACGCTGCCCTCGTCCCCGACATCCATGCGCGCACCGTGTCGCGCGCGTCGCTTCCAGCCCCTCCTATTCCTTCCGCGCATAGGCCTGCGCTCGCTCCCGTCGCCCACTCGCGTGCCATCGCGCGCCCATCTCCTCGTGCGTTAATCCCGCGCGCGTACGTCTCGCTGCCCCGTACTCCTACGCCTTTGCGGTCTCGGTTTCCGCCCGCGTGACCTTCACCCGCACGCCCAGCTCGCCCGCCGCTCGCTGCCCGCGCGTACCTCCCCTCGCCCGCGGCCTGCTCGACTACCGTGCACCCGCGTGCACCCAATGCTGACCGCGTGCTGACCACCCGCTCTCGCGCATCACCGCCCGACGCGCCTTTCGCCCATTCGACCATCGATCACTCCCGACCACTCTTCGGCCTCGACAACCACTTCCGTATCATTCCCCTCTTCTTCAAGACGTTCTTTGTCCCGAAGGATGAGAAAGTTCAGGACGTCCACATCACCATCTTCTTCTTCAACGGGGAATTCACCTTGATCCTCAGTCCTCAACTTAATGCTCTTTCCTGGTCGTCCAAACTCCATCTTTCCTCGCTTATAGTCAGTCGTAATAGGTCCAAGCGTTTCCAGCTACTGTACTCCTAACACAATATCTGTTGCCTTAAGTGGTAAGGTATAAAGATCAATCTCCAGCTCGTGATCCTGTGCCATTATCGGGACCTTCTTGAATAATTGACTTCCCTGTAGCTCATGTCCATTGGCCACCTTAACACCAAACTTCTTGACTTTTGTGGGTACCAACTTCAGCTTTTGGGCTATCCTTTCATCGATAAAATTTAAACTCGACCCACTGTCCACCAGGACCTCTAACAACATATCCTTTATCTCGGCCGTGAATCTGATCATCCTAGGTCCACGCTTGTTGCACTTCACCATATGCAACCAAGACTCTTTCTGCAGCTTTTCTTCCTCTCGTTCCTCCTCAATTTCCAACACAAAAATTTCCTTACCCTTGCACTTGTGACCTGGCGCAAATTTCTCGTTGCAAGTAAAGCACAAACCTTTCTCCCTTCGCCTTTGTATCTCATCCTCCGTCAGCCGTCGGTAGTTGCTAGTAGTGCGTGTACCATCGCCGACTGTTGGCTTGACCTCGGCCCGTGGGGGTGTATCGTCGAGCGCGACGCTCGCGCGCCGAACGTCCGTGCGCCCCTCGCTCGGTCTGGCCTTGCGCACTGCCGCGAGATGATCCTCGTGCAGTCGCGCTGCTTCCATGGCCGCCCTTGTCGACCTTGGCCTGTCCAACCGTACTTCTGCAGCCAACTCAGCCTTTAAGCCTCCTACAAACGCACCTACTAGTGCCTTTTCGGGCCAATCCCGAACTCGGCTTGCTATTCTCTCAAACTCCTTTTGGTAATCGCGTAGACTATCGGTTTGGCGGATCCTTGTCAGCGCCTCATCATAATCAAAGTATTCGCTAGATCCAAACCTTGCAATCAGCTCCTTCTCAAAATCTCGCCGTTTGATTTGCTCGCCTTTATTTTTATAAACATGTGACACCCAATGCCACCATGTGTTGGCCTCCCCATCCAAGTAGTAGGCAGCAATTTGAACTCTTTCAGATTTGTGTACCTCATTGATCTCGAAAAATTGCACGGCACGACTTAACCGTGCATCCGGATCTACTCCTTCGAACGTTGGCATCGTTATCTTCAGTTTCGCACGTACGTGCTCCTCGCGATGATGCCGATGGCCATGTGTCCTGCGATCGCCGTGGTGTCGGGTAGTGCGCGTCGCGCGCGTTCCCCGCGACCATTCGTCGTCGTCATCGCGACTAGACGTCGAACTGCCCGTTCCCACCATGGTTGATCTCGATGTGCGGCTCCTCCGCGTACGGTGGTTGACTCTCTCGAGCTGTCCGCCAAGTCGTGTATCATTAGCTCCAACTTTGCCATGTTTTCATTGACCACGTGTTGTCCGTTGCCAAGGGACCTCACGTTTTCCTCAAGTGCATCGAATCTCTCACGATTCGTCATGACTCTTTTTTTTTAAGACTCTATACAATATTCGAACAAAGTCAAACCAAAAAGAAAAAATAAAACAAAGAAATTCGGCCCCTTAACAAAAGGTAATAACCGAAAAAAAATCAAACAAAAGGACTAGGTGACACTTTTTTTTTTTTGATACTCACGAATTTTTCCGAAAATTAAGGATAAAATTCGAAAAAATTCGAACACAAAGACTCAAAAAAATCGAACCAAAGAAAAAGAATGGGATAGAAAAAGTTCACGAACACCCAATCGATCACTCTCAATGAAAGAACCAATGATGACGGATTGGGTGTTGTGTTCCCTCGACTTGTCTCGATCACGGCTTCGCACGGCCTTGCTCTCGACGATAGGTGTGATCGACTCGGTTATTAGCCTAACTCTCTCATGATACTTGAGTTCACTCGGGTATTAGCCTCGCTACACTCTCGAAATAGATCGGGTCTTAGCCTATCTAAATCGTTGAACTGGCTTGGGTCTTAGCCTCACCAATTCGGTTGCATGATCGAACTCTCACGAATCCTAACACACGGTTTGAACAAACGTTCCTTTTCTATTTCATCAATTCTGGTCCTCTAAACACAATGAGGGAACATCCCTATTTATAGATCCTAACTATGACTAATTCTAATCTACCTAGGAAACATATTAAAGCAATAAAATATTAAATTCCTAAACGTTCTAGATACTTTTGTGCAAGAAGGAAACTAAATATACTAGAGTCCTAAATTGACTAGATCTTGATCTTGCTTGGCTTGCACTCCAAACAATTCCAAATCACACGCCCAAGTAACTTCGGCCGCCTCTTATGCACCGCCCTTCGGGGTTTCCTAATCCTCGTCGCGCGCGGATCTCGTACGCGTTATCCGCCGCCCCAGCTACTCCTTGTCGTGCGCGGAATCGCGCGCGCTTGCGCCCCACGCACGCCGCCCTCGTCTCCGACATCCATGCGCGCACAGTGTCGCGCGCGTCACTTCCAGCCCCTCCTATTCCTTCCGCGCATAGGCCTTCGCTCGCGCCCGTCGCCCACTCGCGTGCCATCGCGCGCCCATCTCCTTGTCCGTTAATCCCGCGCGCGTACGTCCCGCTACCCCGTACTCATACGCCTTTGCGGTCTCGGTTTCTACCCGCGTGACCTTCACCCGCATACCCAGCTCGCCCGCCGCTCGCTGCCCGCGCGTACCTCCCCTCGCCCGCTGCCTGCTCGCCTACCGTGCACCTGCGTGCACCCAATGCTGATCGCGTGCTGACCACCCGCTCTCGCGCATCACCGCCCGATGCGCGCCTTTCGCCCATTCGACCATCGATCACCCCCGACCACTCTTCGGCCTCGACAACCACTTCCG